ATGCACGGTATTGGTCAACAATTACCCATATTCATTTCCTGTTATTTCATGCATGGCTGATTGTATCATTTTTTTTTTTCATCATTTAATTTTCCAAGTGTTCATTTAATATTTTGTTCTTGATTCTGACAAATCATTGTTTTCATCCCTCTTTTCTTACTTCATGAACAAAAATAGTTTTTGCATTACTTGATGTAGCAACACAAAAACTAATTTTGTTCATGAAGTAAGAAAAGAAGAATGAAAAATTTTTGGTAAACATAATCAAAAAATATTTAACAAATACTTGCAATAACAAATGATACATTTCTTTCAAAGATACAGCAAAGAAGCACTCAGCGGGGAGTAGATGTTCGTTCAGTGTTTGTGTGAAACATCTACAGAGGTGCTTCAGACCATGACGACCCGACACGCCCCCCTGCTGACGTGTGCGAGTTTAACTTTTTGCCATCTAGTTTACTGCTAGTGAGCATGTGGTTATTTACACCTATCCTTTATTGATTTATCCATTGATATACATTCCTAAAAGCTGCATTGTCTGTTGTTCTCTATCTGAGGCGATACGTCTGCACGTCCGCCATGTTGGAGAGGTCAAGATCCGCTTGTGAATAAATTCACTTGTACTGAGAGACGAAGAGTCTCAGGATTAAATCAGCCACAACTTCCTTATTACTCAACCGATTTTCACCAAATCTGTGTAGTTATAATCCTCAGACACAGATTAATCCAGGCTGCACGGATCTGCTCTCGGTAGCTTTTATTACTTTAATAACTGATCGTGATAATTAGCCGTCCAGACCAGCAGGGAAAGTATTCAGTCTGGACCTGACGTTAAAAACCAAGTTTAGCGTGAGAAACAAAACAACACACATCAGCAAATCCATCAATGTGTGAATCACTTCTGATCTTAATCCACATAAAAATAAAATAAACCCCCAAAACACAGCAAGAAGGACAAGGCTGAAGTTGGCTTCCTATTTGTCAGCTTCTTGTTTGAGTTTTCCCGTTCCACCTTAAATGGTGCAGCAGTCCCTTTCTGGTGCCCCTGAATAGACTATGAAATGAAATAAGCTTAATATAAAACCAGAGGAAAAACAATCACATCAACAGGTTCTCTGTGCATCACCAACCACACGGCCATATCTACACAAACATCACACAGACAATACACATCACACAGACATGAGTGTGGATCACTGCGTTCCCTCCGTTATATAATCCTATCCCACTTTCTGAGTGTAATATTCCCGAAATAGTGTAATTTTGGACAGTATCTTTCTTAAACTGCTGCTCTGTAATGGTACTGAATGCTGTCCAGCAGTGATGTTGACTGCCTTAAAATGGTGGTGCCGCTGATGTGCCTGGCTGGACCCAACGCAGCATCTAGGTATGTATATCTATGGATTTATTTCTCTGTAGATGTTAGCTGACGTTACTCTGCTCTGACAGCTGTGAAGGAATTTTTCCATTAAGTATTTATATCCTTTATTTAGTCTGGACTCCCACATTGTTGGGTGTTTGGTTCTCCAACAGTTCTGGACACATCCTTGCATTTCAATCTTGGCAACTACGACAAAGATAAAGTGACTCACCTTTCTGTGGTGGCTGAAGTGATACGAACGCCTGTAGGTTAATAACTGTCCATAAGGCAATGGCAGAACTGTTTTACTTCTGTTTCATGTGAAAAGGGCCTCTCTCACACTACTGGAGTCTGTTTAGTTTTGAATTATATTAAATTATACTAGTACATACATATTTCTCAGCACAGCAGCTCCTGGGTTCTCCATGTGCTCAGCCTGTTCAGGCTGTGTGTTTTTATCTCTGAGCCTTTTCTTCCTCGATCAATAACCATTTAAGCAAATTGTCTGCATAAACGATACCTTGCTGCACGGCTCTTTATCGCTTTTTCTCCACGAGTCTCTCAGACTGGACCTGTCAGCTTTACGAGAATGGAAACCTACATGCTCCTTCTGGTAAACACTCACTGCTGTGGAGCCTCTTAGGCAAACAAATGAGTTTTAAAGCTTCTGTGTTTCTCTCCAGCGATCAAACAGTGTGATTTACTGGTGGGCCATTAAAGCCGCAGATGTTTCCCCCATCTCTGTCCATCACTCCCTCCATTTGTCTTTCACTCTGTCTCTCTCAGCTCCTTCTTTCTCTGTCACAGCCATTTAAATTCTAATTCATGGTGCAGAGGACGAAGAGATGTTTCTCCTGCTACATACCAACAAGAAGCTGAGGTGATAACAAAACTTATGTTATCATTTCATATTAACCCTCTGTGGTCTGAGGTCATTTTTCTGATTTGTTCATCTCTCCTTAAACTCTCCTTTAAAGGCTCTTCATATATCATGATCCTCATATGTTTCATATCTAAATGCTCCGTTATCTTCATCACTACTTTCCAAAACCGCTGCAGCAGCTTCAGCAGCTGTAAACTCTCTGCACGCCGTTTCACATGAGTCTCCGATGTGGACTGAATGAAGAATGAAGGGTTTCCGGCGTGATGGTCAGTGCTTAGTGATTTCCTGAGCGTCCATTGGTCAGTTTCACACAGAATGTAGACGGACACACCAATCCACCAGTTCCACACGGTGAGAGGCAGATGACGTGTATCTCAGCCCCTCTTCATAGGCTCATAACTCCGGATGTGAGTCTCGTATGATCTCATGATAAGATGGAATGGAAAGGGCGACTCTACAGATTCAGGAAGTGTTTGAACTGGATTTCTGAGCTGGATCATCACAAAGATACAGACACAGATATAGAGACAGAGAATTTGATACATGGGTGAGTTTGTGGACCCCAGAGGGTTAATAATTTCTGACTCTTACCTCCCTGAAACAAGTGAAGAGGTCGTATGCAGATTGAAAGTGTAGACTGTAAACTTGCATACCACATTAGTGTTTGCAAATAGAAGAGGAGAAAATTTATTATGATTTGAATTTGATGAACATTAATTGTTTTGTGGAAACAAAAGCCATCAAAACAAACAAAAAATGTTACTGTAAGGTAACTCCAATATTTTAGGTCTTTTACAGCCACACAAGTTCTAACTATGCAATTGCTAACAGACTACAAAGTATATATATACTTTACTACCTTAATTTCTGAGAGTGTAGTGTATCCATGGCCTAGGAAGAACCAATTAATAGGAAAAGACCATTATACGGAACAGCTGAAGGTAAAAGAGGACGATCAGCTACAAAATGGATGGATATAATGAGAGCAATCATGAACCAGCCATTCAGAAGCCTGAAGGCCCAAACAGAAGACAGAAAATTATGTAGAAACACCATCCATATGGTCACCAGCTGTCGGAAATGACCTTCCACTTACCTGGTTAATACCTAGAACTTGTTACCAGCCATGGAGCAATAAATGACTCGTCATTATGTATTTGTGGAAGATTTCTAATTATTTACTGCCATGTAATGTAAACTGACAACTGACTGTCCACTTTATTGGGAACCCATTTGTGGCTTCACAGTTGGAGACTTGTTTTAAACTGTTTTCAACAGATGAGCTACAGTCTGTAATTATACACCTGTATAGTAGACCTATGAAGTAGGTTGAGCTCATAAAGTGGAAGTAAATAGAAACATAAATCTCTTTTTGTTTAGAAAGAGCTCTTTGAGAACTTTTAGATCAAAATTAGGTTGTTACTTTTCTCGAAGTTAATTGGGACATGGGGTGGAACAGTTTCTCCATACAGTCTGGAGCAGGTCAAAGACCTAAAACTATCAGACACATCACTGCAACGCGTTTTTACACAAAGCAGGATTTTATAAAAGAAACAACACGTTCAAAATGGTGGTTTGGGACAAGCAAAACACAAATCTGAAAGTCTGCATGTTCTTTAAATATCAAAGGTAATTAATATTGATCTGTGACAGATGTAAAAAATAAGTATAATAAGTAATGAAATATCAAGAACACAAGACTCCAGACTTGATTCAGACTCACATTAGAGACTCAGCTCAGACTCACACCCCAGAAACTCGAGATTCTGCTCAGACTTGCACCTCAGAGGCTCAAGACTCAACTCAGACTCGTAACTCAAAACCTCGAGACTTGACTTGGATTCGCACCTCAGATAGTCGAGATTTGACTCAGACTCGCACCCTAGAGACTCGAGACTCAGATTCACACCTCAGATACTCGAGATTTGACTCAGACTCGCACCTCAGAGACTTGAGACTCGACTCTGACTCACACCTCAGAGAATCAAGATTTGACGCAGACTCGCACCCTAGAGACTCAGAGTCACGCCTCAGATACTCAAGATTTGACTCAGACTCGCACCCTAGAGACTCGAGACTCAGATTCGCACCTCAGATACTTGAGACTTAGACTCACACCTCAGAGTCTCAAGACTCGACTCAGAGTCGCACCTCAGAGACTTGAGACTCGGCTCAGACTCACATCTCAAAGACTCGAGACTCAGTTCAGACTCACACCTCAGAGACTCGAGACTCAGCTCAGACTCACACCTCAGAGACTCGAGACTCAGTTCAGACTCACACCTCAGAGACTCGAGACTCAGTTCAGACTCACACCTCAGAGACTCGAGACTCAGCTCAGACTCACACCTCAGAGACTCGAGACTCAGTTCAGACTCACACCTCAGAGACTCGAGACTCAGCTCAGACTCACACCTCAGAGACTCGAGCCTCAATTTAGATTTGCACCTCAGAGACTTGAGACTCAACTCGCACCTCAGAGATTCATGACTCACACAGATCGACTTGTGAAGTTTGTTAAGCTTTCTTGACTTTGATCTGTCAGTCTTGGCTCTATTTATCTTACACAGCTGGGAATGTGTACATTAACACTTTGTCGCCTCCTCTGGCTCAAATGGAAACTGCATTAGACATACATTAAACTGTAAATTACTGTAAAGGTTAATCAGTCAATTTGTCAGTTTTTCACAACTGCTTTTCAGTCCAGCCCTGCATTCTGTTTTTGCACAAGCCAGCAAAGCCAAGCAGACACAGTACCTGACACGGTCCTAACGATCTCTGTGCTGTTCCTTAGACCCACGAAGGAGAACTGGTAGAGCCTCCATGAGCGAATGTCACCAACCTCCACGGAGCTGCGCTTCCACCTGTAAACGATCTCCTCCTTGGGGTAGCCGTCTGCAGGAAGAAACAACAAATAAATAAACAGTCAAGAGCTCTGTCAGCTGGATCACTACTATCTAGTGAAGGACAAAAAAAAAAAGAAATAAAAAGCTGCACTGGCTTCCAGGGAGTCTCCAGGATCTGAGCCTTCTAGATATGATTCTGTCACATCTGTCAGCCAATTCAGCACAGTTTAATGTCAAATGTGGACGGAGAACCATTTTTAGAACCATTTATTTACTCCCTAGTCCACACAGTCCGCAGGTAGAATAAAGCCTGTTGTGAATTTATCATGAGTGTGATGTCATAACGATGACATTGCCACATGACTGGTCATTCAGCCATCAGCAGTTTAGCCCCACCCATTCAGCTCCACCTATTCAGCCTACAGCAGTTCACAACTGCTCATTCAAGTGATGCTGAGTGCTGATTCTGCAGCCACACTGATGTTCTAAGTGGACTTCATGAGGAAAATAAAATAAAAGGGAAATGCAGGATTTGGGCCCTTTAATGTTGTCTTTGATTAAACATCCAGCAGTGATGTTAGTGTATCAGTCCAGCAGGACAGACAGTATGGACAGTTAAAGTGTCCCTCTGCGCCCTGCAGGAGTCGCCCGCTGTGGATTATCGGCTGCCTGTCAGTTTTAACAGCGCGGATCTCTCGCAGGTGTGAGTTTAGAGGCTTTCCTGTTGAAGTCAGCAGCAGCGGGAGAACGAGGAGAAGCATCCGCAGGAGAAGCATCCGCAGTCGCTCATTAATTTTTTAAGCACATTCCTCCTCTGTGCTGTATTTAGGGATACGAATCCCCCATTTTTCTCCCCCGTTTTTCATGGAAGCTATTTAGGAAGTTCTCCCCAGAGACCGTCCCACAGAGCATCTGCCTCTCCCCAGCAGCCTGATTACCATAGAAGAGAGAGAGAGAGAGAGAGAGAGAGAGAGAGAGAGCACAAGACTGAGAAACAGAGAAGGGGGAGATGGAGACTGAAGATGAAACTGCAGGAGCGAGAGAGAGAGTGAGAGAGAGACTCAGAAAGAGATGGAGCAGAGAGAGAGAGAATAAGAAAAAAGAGGAAGAAGGTAAAGAGATGGCAGGAGAGAGAAACAGACAGACAAAGGAAAAGGGAAATGCAGACTGAAGAGGAAAGTTGAGGAGAAAGCCAGCGAGAGAGACAGAGAGTGAAAAAAGAGGGTGAGAAAAGAAGAGGGAGCTCAAGAAAGAGGAGAAGAAAGATCAGAAGAAAGAGTGGAAGGAAAGAAGGCAAGATAGATCAAGAGAGAAAAGAAAGAAAAGAGAGGAGGGAGGGAAGAGCAAAGAAGAGGCAGAGAGAGTAAAGCATAATGAGAAACAGAAAAGTGGGAGATGGTGACTGAAGGAGAAAGTGCAGGAGAAAGAAAGAGAGAGTGAAAAAAGGAGAGAGAGAGAAAGAGAGAGCAAGGGAGACTCAGAAAAAGAAAGAATAGAGAGACAAAAAGAACAAGAAAATGAGGAAGAAGGAAAGAAGCAGACTGAGTGGGAGAGAGAGTGAAAGAAGGGGAGAGAGAGATAGATAGATAGATAGATAGATAGATAGATAGATAGATAGATAGATAGATAGACAGACACTTATTTTCTAGTATTCTATTATAATCTATATAATCTTTTTCTTATTTATGTTTGTGTTTCTTATTGAACTTGAACTAGATAGAGAGAGATAGAGAGACTGAGAGAGAGAGAGAGAGAGAGAGAGAGAGAGAGGGAGGGAGAGAGAGAGAGCTTTCCTGTCTGCTGCTGTCTCGTTTGGCCCGTGAGGAGAAGGTTTGACGTGTTCTTCGTTATCCGTCCTCGCGCTGCGAAGGCAGAGACGCGGGAGTTTTTCTGCTGCACTGAGGTCTTTATCAGCATGTTAAAGAGATACAGTGTTGGCAGGCAGCAGAAGGAGAAGGAGCGCTGAAGACGGGAGGAGGAGAACCCTGAAACCATCCTCCAGGAACACTGCTGGTACCGCAGTGAAGCACAAACTTTACCAACACAGGACTTCAGCAGAAGTACAAATGTAGCAGGTCATTAACTACTGAAGAACTGATGTAGAACTTCTTAGAACATCCAGCATCAGCAGAGGAGCTACGAACCTGAAACCGGCTTCTTATTAAAGTTACCTTTCCACCTTAAATAGGAGGAACATTTTGGCACCTCAAATTCCACAGACATGCTAAATATATCACAGTTTTTGACATAATTTGAAAGTGCCTGTTGCCCTTTACATTATATTTACGTTTCATGATGAATGGACCAAAAGAAACGGCCCAAAATGACTTGGAAAAAAGTCTGGTTCCATTGACTTACATTAAAAGTAAAGTAGGCTTTTTCCTTCTCCTGTAAAGTTACCATTTTGGAGATACGAGGGTTTCTCCCAACAACAGCAATAGACAAAATGATCATTTATAGGGTACTTTCTGTTGGGACGCGTCTGCTCCAAAACCCTCACCTCTAAATTTACAGTTGTGAAAATAACACTAACATGTTTTTTTGCATATTTTTAAAGATCTTTTTGATTTATTTTCAGAGCTAAGTTGAAAGATTTATATTTATCATGAGTTTAATCTTTAAATAATAATTAAAAAAAAAAACTTTATTTAAAAAATGTTTGTCACTACCGAAACACAGTTTTAAGTCTATGAGGGAGCTTTTAGAGGTGGACGTCTGGTTCCTATCACCACCACTGTGAACAGTTCTGACTCAGTAAGTTTCACTAGAACAGAACGTTTCACACCAAACCACTCTGTTTACATCTCAACCATTTAATTATACAGAAATGTTGAAAAACCAGTTTTAATCAGAGAGTAGCTTTAAGGATATTTGTTTCTGGTGGAAAGAGCACCGATGTCTTTATCAGCGTGTTAAAGAGCTGTGTTCTTGGCAGGCAATGGAAGGGGAGGGCGAGGAGGAGAGAGGAAGAGCGAGAGAAGAACAGAACATGAGGTGGGAATAGATAGAGAGCATATGGCCAGACTTACAGCTTGAAAACTCCAGGGGACAGGAATGCTCATCCATGGGAAAGTTATACAGTTTAAGCTGGCACTCAGCATCGATGGTCAACCTACAGACAGAAATAACTCCCTCAATTACATCTTCAACACAGGCCAAGATTCATTTCACTACAGCACACACACATATTCACAGTCTGCAGTGTTGGATCGCACCCATTTAAGTGGGCATAATAATGGAATTAATGACAGGAAGCCACGTCCTTATTTGGCGTTAGAGTCTAAAACTCTTGGTTTGATTTAATTTCATATGAGCTTTTTTTTCTCCTTGTCTTATGCAATTATGCAGCTGTTTCATGCAAGTTAAGCCACTAGCCCAAAGTTGCATAATGAATAAATTAATGCTGTCTGTATGAATATCAAATAAGCAGCTGGGTGGCTAATTTCACTGCTAACATGAAACTTTTACGCTAATGCAAATTTCGACCCTCTTTACAAGAACATCAAAGATAAGGCTGGCTTTGCATGAGACCTTCATGCTTGTTGCATGTTGTGAGTTGCATGCAACATATTTTTGGCGCAACCAAATTCAAAAGAAATCATAAGTCTTAGGACATTTTATGATACATGACGAGTGAAATTTAGTTTCATGTACGTTTCAAGCAACTAAAGTTTCAAGCATGAAAGTTTCACTGTGTCACAGCAGCCTAACAGTATAAACACACAAAGACTTCCTCTTCATCTTCTTCTCTACCTTAAAGTGTACAGGATCCGCCCATCGTTCCAAATCCGGAGCATGCGATTGGGCGTCGTGATCCAGTGGGCGTCGGCCTTCTTGGAGTTGCGGAAGAAGGTGTCGGGGATCCAGATCTTTCCCACCATGTTGCTGTTCAGGCGCAGAACCTTCATAGTGCTGTTGAATCTCAAGCGGCTGTCGTACCAGGTCTGAGCGAAGAAGATGTCGATGGTGTACTCCTGTCAGGAGGAAGAAGAAGGCGTTTAAATCAAGGCTCCTAAGATCTCAGGATTCTAGGATCTCAGGATTCTCTATTTCAAATTTTATATCAGGTGACCTTTAAAATGTTTTTGACACTCAAAAATCTTGTTTCAAACACTGGGCCTCATTCTCCAACCATTCATATGAAGACATTTCTTCTTAAAACTTCTTGCAGTTCTGATGAAGATTCTGATCCAGTGTTCTCTTATCTGGGATTTGTTCTGAGGTAAGATCAGAATCTACACACTCAAGAGCACAAAGGTGAGAACAGTTCTGCGCTTTGAGAACACGGCAGTAATATGACGTTGACTTTTTCTTAGGACCTTTCTCAAGAACACACTTAAGAACAAACTCAGGAAAATATTGGCGAATGAGGCCCAATATTACTTCAGGAACAAAAAGTGGACAATTTTGTAATATATAGCCACAATATATATTAAAAAAAACAAATAAGTACATTATAAACCACAATAACATTTGAGAAAAGGCCTTTCTAAATAAATATGAATACATTTTTATGAAGAAGTCGGTGTCTGTGGAACCCTCAGTTTAGTTTTGGGAAGTTAGAGGAGATGATTAGTGTTAGACCTGAGACTGAAACTGGAATTACAGAGTATTAGAAGTTCCTTGAGATAATCTGGTGAGTTTCCATGAACACACTGAAAAGTTAGGGGAATTTTATAGTCAGTTCTGTATAGACAGGAAGGCAATTTCTGTTTCTGTTGCTGAAAAATTCACACAATGTAATGAGCAGCTGGTATTTTTCAAATGGTGTAAAAATGCAATGATGCGCATTTTTAAATGTTCAGTTTTAAGTCTGAATTGTATTTTGAATACTGAAAAAAAAATCTTTATTCTTGGTGTAACGTATTTATGCAAATGTTCACATCGTTTGGTAATATTCTATATATAATAGTTTCTTATTTATTTGTATTAGTTATGGTATCTATATTCTCATATGTATTCTTTATTCCATTTGTTGTATTTTTATCTTACTTCTCTCTAAATAAAATACTTAAAGAGTTCACTTGCAAAGAAAGACGTTTCAGTTTTAATGAATTTTCATAAATCATTATTTATTTATTGCATTCCAGGCAATACCAGTCAAACTGCAATTGGGTTGTTTTGATTAAGTAAAAATATCTCAACAAAATACAGACAACTTACAATATTAAAATTTATTGATTAAATTATGTTTAATCATTAAATTATGTTTTTTGTCAGAAGCAGATAACTCCAATGGTCATTTCATGTTTCAGAGTTAAAGCCATTTAATGGACACAAGTTTCTTTTAAGGTCAGTATTTAACATCTTTACCATAAAACAGCAGGTAAAGAGCTGAAAAACTGAACACAAACAGCCATTAATGTCAATATTAATCATCTATAAGATCAGAGCTCTGAAAATCCTCAGGCTGAGTCTCAGACGCCTCACTGCCCCCTATATAGTCACTATGAGTTATGAAATTCAGTCTTTTCCCCCCAAATATTGGTCTTTGTGTCCAGTATGAATCGTCTCTCTGTTCTACGTCACCTGACCCCAATACTGCGTGCTGATTGGCTGAACGGATTTATCGGGTTCTGCTGGAGAACAGCGCTGGAGTTTGACCGTTTCTGCTGTGAAACGTGATCTTGTGACGCCTCGACGTTTCAGGACGTAACTCACCAGGACTGACTCCTTGTTTGTGTAACATACTTGGCTAAACAAAGCGATTCTGATTCTGATCCTTGCCATTTGTATTCAGTTCTAGATTACATTTCCTCTGTAATCCACCCCACACTGCCTATATACACATGCTCGTTCTCTGTTTACTCTGTCAGTGTTGGTAAACAATGGACCCAAAGCTTATATTCTTACACTGGAGAGTTCAGCCAGCCTTTCAGGCATCTGAATAGCGCTTGCTTACAGAAAAAAACTGCTTAGCTTTGCAGCAAAGCTGACATAAACAAAACACCTTAAATAAATTTGAAGATATTTATTTCTGTAGAAGCTTTGGTGACAGCTGAGTCAAATCACCAAAGCAAATGTTTTTGCTATTTATGTGGATCTTCCCAAGCACGCTCGAATAAGCAGTCGATATAGGGAAATGCAAAGCTGTGTGCAAACTGCAGGCCAAAATCACCCAAAGCAATCCCAGCTACTTAATCCCTGTATGTGGCAGGGCTTTGTGGTGAAATCCTCTGCCAGCACCAGGGTATTACAAACTGTAAAGAACTCAAGGCCTCTTTTCTAGTGTGGACGTTTTTACACGGCAAAGCACAATGCAGAACGGAGCGACCCGTTCCAGAACACATAGGCTTTTGTCAGTGTTAATAGTGTCACTGAACTCAGCCACATTGAGGCCCTCAACCTGAAAATTAAAGGTTCAACGGGGCAATTAATGGGTCATCTCTTTTAGCACGAGCATTCTCCAACTTTCTTCTAGGGTCAGTCTTCATTCCCTGAATAATGTCTGAATGAGAAACCCGGCTGAAAAACATGGTAAGACATTTATCCTCGATCCTCGCTTCTCTATTAAACAGCCCAAAAGGAGGCGACCAAGTGGGATATTTTATCATCACTGCCATTATTAATTTAATTATTTGTTTATTTGCAAGAGCAGAGGTTTAAAGTGAAGCACTGATCTTTTTTAAGATATTCAATCATGGCAAAAGTTTGAACACTCCTGGTCAAATTATGTTTTGTTGATTTACTAAGTGAAAAATAAGTTGACACGTCTTCTACTGACACACGCTTAAGCATAATATTCTTTTTTTCTGCACATTTTAGAGCACAATTTCTATTTATTTGCTGACTTTAATATGTTGGGAAAATATAACATAAAATGTGTCATAACTTTTGCACAGGCTATTTTATATTTTATGTTCATTACTTTTTTCTTGATATGTTAAATTCAACAGTAAGTGCACATTCAAATGTGCAGACGTCTCTGTAGAGGATGTGTTAACTTATGTTTGCATACGACAGCACACATATACAGTATTGTGCGAAAGTCAGAGACTCTTCATTTATTTAATTTCTAGTCAAAATTGCCATTTATATAATACAAAATATCAGTTGTGTAGTGTTCAGTGAGTCACTCTTTCCCTTTATTCCAGCTTCCATTCTTTTCAGGAGACTCACTTTCAGTTCCTCAAAGAATCTGCAGACACACCTCCAAAGTTCAGTCTTAGAAGCTGGTTGATCATTTTCTGAAGTAATCAAACACATTCAGTGGTGTTGAGGTCTGGACTCTGGGGTGGTCAGTCCATCGTTCAGCTTCTTTGTTTGATGTGTCCGTCTCCTTTTCTCAGTGAGGTTCTTCTTGACAGCTACACATCCTTTCAGACCCACAGCGCTGAGTCGTCTTCTCACAGTGGAAGGATGGACAGAAACACCTGTGGATGTTTTCAGATCTGAAGCAGCTTGATTTTCTCCTCTCTCTCAGAGATGAGAGCTTTCAGTGCTGTTTATCTGATGGGGCAGATAAACAGCACTGAAACATTTTCTCTGTAGCTTTTAATCAGTTTTTGAACTGCAGTTTTGGAAACTCCTATTTGACTTTCTCCTTCTTTATACAGGTGGATTATCTTATAACTAACCTGCTCAGAAATATCTCCTGTTTTTACTGGAAATTTAATAAATGAAGGGTGGTCTCTGACTCTTGCAGCGCTGTTATATATGTATATATTCCCTGAGGGGGCGGTGGTTGAATCAGGGATTTGTGAGCGGCTGAGAAGACAGAGGTATTAACAATCGACTTTTTTTCAGAGCTTAGTCGTGCAATGAAAGCTCAAATCCACATCACTTGTGGTCTCGTAACACTGTCCTATTTATGCAGCATGGTGTTGTTTTTCTCTGTTGTTGACAGGGCCGTGCAAAAGCCTATGATTTCGTCACTCTGCCCTTATACACCCTCCCTGCTCTCGACCCCTACAAAAACACAGCGCATCAAATTCACACCGTGTCAGAGCGCCAGTGCGGAGGAGAAGGTCCTGCCAGCTCTCTCAGTCCATCAGACGGTACAGCGCTAGCTCCGAGGAGGCTGAAGAAATCTCTTGGGATGGCACACACACAAAAAACTGCTCACATCAAAAGGCATGTAGCAGCGAGGAGATGCACGGCGCGTCCCCGTCCTCTTTGTAAATTCATAAATCCACGAAAGATGAAGGAGCTAATGGATTGCGCTGTGAATGCCATGCCTCTAGGATGCGGTTTAAAATTAAATATCTGCTTACATCATCTTGTTTCATTGCCAGAGACCACATAGGCTCTGACATGTTACCCAGAATATTCTCAAGACCACTTCACTTAAACACAGGGGCTTCAAATGAGTCAGGAGGCTGTTTTTGCGCAGTTAATCACAATTAACAGCATTCTTTTTTGTAGTTAATCACAATGCATTTTTGTGCAGTTAACTGTGATTAATCACATTCTTCTGGCAAGTTTATTATGATTAATTGCATTAGTTTGTGTAGTTAATCACAGATAATTGTATTCTTTTTGTATTCATTCATAATTAATTGTATTCTTTTGTGTACTTAATTATGATTAAACACTTTTTTTGCATAGTTAACTGTAATTAATCATATTAAATTGACCCTTCCATTGCATTAAAAGCCATACATTTATAGTCAATGCGTGTGTATATCAAATATATCATATATACAGTCAATGGGTGTGGGATATGTAGGTTTACACTAAATGTATATATCATATTTTATATTCTGCTGTTGTCGGAGCAAAACCTTGTATCTCCATTTTTGCTGATTTTCAGTTTTTGACATAATTTGAAAACACCCGTTACCCTTTACATTGTGTGTAAATTTCATTGATGAATGAACCAATAGAAATGAGCCAAAATTACTTGTAAAAACATCTGGTTCCATTGACTTACATTAAAAGCAACATAGGTTTTTTTCCTTCTACTTTAAAGTTCTCTTTTTGGAGATACAAGGTTTTGTTCCAACAGCAGCGATATGCAGTCACAAAGTGCATATTTCATATATATCTTATATACAGTCAGTGGTCAAGCTCCTCCTTATATCTCTCTTTCTTGTTGATACAGCTCATGGGTTCTTGTCACTGTGGAGGATCTTGAGGTGAATTGGAGCTCCACCAAGCTGCTGCTTTTGTTAGTTTGCTGCTCATTGATTTATTCCTAGTTCTCCTGACAACGTCAGCCCAGCATCGTCTCCTGAAGCTGCTGAAGGTTTTTGCTTTAAAAGATGTTTAAAAGCTGTATTTGAACGAGAGCTACAAAGGTGAGACTAGGAAAATGTGTTTTCCACTGATGTGCTTTCAGCTGATTTTTCATTTATGGATTTAAAATGTCAGTGTGGGTGAATAAAGAGCAAAAAATGTTATTCATATTGTTACTTTGGCTAATAGGACGTACTAGAAATGTGTTAGTGTGGTTCATATGTTCATTTAGCCCACACTGCATGAGCTAATAAACACTGAGGAAAAGATCAGGCATCTGCTAATTTCTCTGTAAATAAATTGAATTTGGAATCAGGCATTAAAATTTGTGGACGTTATGATGATTTGTTATTGTCATCCTGAGAACTACCAGTTTTGTATCAAGCATTAGCAGCAGTTCTAAATAAATGACCAACAGCATCTTCTATAACAAGGAAACAAAAAGATAACAAATTATACTGAAACTGTTCACAACAACAACCAGCTTGTGTTCTGCTGTCAGATTAAAAGTGCACAGTAACAAGTTTCTGTTTTAATGTCGGCCCATTATACTGTTCAAAAGTTTGGAATCACTTTAGATATTTGTAACTTGTGTAATTGTACATGCAATAAAATCTTAATAGAAAATCTTAATATAAAAATCTTAAAATAGTCACCAAATGGTATTTGTAGACATTGTATTCAACATTTTGAGTCTTCTGAGATTAATAAGAACTCATTACATGATAAATAACATGCTGTAATTTTCATTTTATGTACATATTTGTCAAGAAATTAATCTTTCTTGACTTTAATTCCATTATAGCATCATTCTTGATGTTCTACAGTGTTCAGCTGTTCATGTAGAGCTCTGTTCATCTAAGTACATCTAAAACATTAATTACTTATAAAGTCCTACTAATTATGTGAAATGTGAAATATTAGAACATAGTAAATAATTTTATAGATTTTTTTTCAATAAAACTGGCTTTATTTTATTATCAAAACAGTAATTTCCAAACAGTAGTGTATGTTGTATGTTAATTCTTTATTTTTATTTATCTAATCAATTGTTAAATTTTCTGCCTGTTCCTGAAAAGCCTGAATTAAAAATCATTTTTAAAAGCAGGACTGCTGTTTTGCTGGTGCACTATTTCTGCTCAATAACATGTTTGCCATCCTCAAAAAACTAAATATTGATTTACCACAAATAACCACACTTCCAGTTTTTTGAAGACATGATCAGCAGAGATAAATATAATGACCAGTAGGGGGTCTAACCTTCTACAACAGATAAATGCAATATGGATGTTAGAATCACTGTTAGAATTAAGGCACAATACAGAGCACAATGACTCCTTAGGCCTGATAAGAAAAGCCCGTCATTTACTCATGGCCGGCTAAGCGATGGTAAACACTCCAACCAATTCAGTCGACTAATCTTATCATTCCTTTTATGTGCTATTTATATCAGTCAGCTTAATTCCTGTGCTCCAAAATAGAAACAAGCATCTTCTGAGTAGATTATGCAAGTCAAGACTGAATTAGTCCAGCATGAGTCATGGAGGAAGCCCACTGAACACAGGAAATGCAGAAACAAAAATGAGCCGTAGATAGAACCCTGAGGGACTCCTCGAAAACCTCATGTCATTGTTTCTGCCTTCGCATTGATACCTTTACTGTAAACTGTTCCTTTAATTGAAAGGAGACCTAATTCCCAGCAGCAGGGGACCATGGCTTTTAACAACGCTTTAATTGGCATTAAGAGGATAGCATTAGCTTTCGCTATCAGGAGAATCACTTACCATGTTGATGGCATTTACTGGCCCAATACTGTTGACAAACATGTCTGTCGTGATCACAGTTGGCTGGACTGAAAGGAGTGAAAGAGTGAGAAAGAACAGAGAAAGAAAGAAAGTGTTGTTATACATTAGGTCTGGTTAACACAGTTAATATATACATCCATACCACAGAAATGTGGCTGTCTGTGTGTGAGATTGTTTTCCTTTAGCTCTCCAGGGAACCTAAATCCCTAATTTACTGCTAATTAGGCTAATCTTGGACTTGAGGTCACACAATACACAGTGGAGTCCAAAAGTCTGAGATCACCACTGAAAATCATTCTCAGTCATTTTGCTTATTTTCTTAATGAATACAACATTTTGCATTACAACAATTACAAAAGAAATGGTCCAAAATTACTTGGCAAAATCCTGGTTCCATTGACTTGCATTAACAGTAGAGTGTGTTTTTTTCCTCTCCTGTAAAGTTACCATTTTGGAGATACGAGGTTTTGCTCCGACAGCAGCGGTAAATGGTTCTTTGAGTGTTCATGGCGCTATATAGAAGTACATGTCTTTCCTAAGAACCCCTGAAGAACCATCTTTTTAAAGAGTGTCCAGCCTGAAATTGTGTTTTTTAGCTAACGGTTAGCCTATGGAGTTAGTCCTATAACAAAAAAACATAAAACCTTTGAACTGCTGTCTTTCTGTTGATTGTTGTTTAAACTATGCATATAAACTTGAAGCTGACCCCGGTCAGACTGTATACGTTGGTTAACTCTCAGTCTGATCTTACTTTAACTTTAATCTAGCAAATCTACACCTGCATATATAGATTGACATCTTGTACATCGTTTATCCATATCTTGTATGATAATGTGCATATATCCCTTGTATCTCCGTTTTTGTTGTTTTTCAGTTTTTGACATAATTTGAAAGTACCTCTTGCCCTTTCCATTTTCTTTAAATTTCATGATAAATGGACCAAAAGAAACGGCCCAAAATGAAAAACCTCTGGTTTCCTTTGACTTACAATAAAAATAAAGTTTGTTTTTTCCTTCTCCTGTAAAGTTACCATTTTGGAGATACGAGGTTTTGATCTGATAACAGAGTAACGTACCCTGCTTTCATCTATCTATGTCAGACTCAATAATTGCAGATATGTAAATGTGTACAACTGTACATATCATAGCTTTTATTTCATAACCTATATTACCGTTACAAAAACTGTACGTTGGAAATGGTGCAATACTGATGTTTATTAATGTGGATATTTAGAGTCTAAATGTTCATATACTTTTTTTGTATTTAAGTACAAGAGGGCTACACACCTAAGATCTTTTACTCACCTTCACACGTGTAAATGTGATGTGACAATAAACATGATTTGATTTGATGTGATTTGATTTGATGTTCTCTTGGGTCGTGTTTTTAGGTTTGTTGGTTAACGATTAATCACCAACTAATTGTGATTGGTTCAAAAAGGAAGCTGCCACAATTTGCATCCATTATTATTATTATTATTATTATTATTATTATTATTATTTGGTTGTTGCTGCTGTTATTGTTGCAGTAGCTACCCACAAAACAACACATTTATTTCAGTGAAACTGTGGCCAGTCCGGGCAGGTTAGTAGGTCAGACAGCATTTCTCATAAATACTGACACCTCCCGACATGAACTCACAGCCTTGCTGTGATACTGCAGAGGATGTCAGTGGTAATATGGCAGCTAGTCTGGACAGCTTGTTGTCAGAGCGAGAGCTGGGCCTCGCCATGCCTCCGCAGTCCTTTCCCCTCAGCGTCAAACTGCAGAGATGTCCACACGACCCAGCCAAGCGCAGAGAGCATATATAGGCTATGCATTAGAAAGGAGGCTGACCTCTCCTCACGCTACCCCCCCACATACAGAGGCTGGGAAAAATGGCAGTGCGTTGCACTTAGCGGCACGGAAATGGCGTCTCATTTGTAAATGGAGAACCTGAATGGACAAACGTAATTAGGACGGGATGAAAAATACATCCAGTCTGCTGTTTCTCCCGCATTGCATGACAATGAAAGTGATTTTACATCAGCCAGCTTTTGACAGCAGATCGTTATGCGTGCCAAAGAACGTAAGCAGAATTCCCGCGGCTCTCTCCACAATCAAAACAGCTGCATTTACAGTATACATGAGGAAAAAAGTGTGTCAGGAAAAACTCCTTTTCTTCTCTCTGTTTTTCAGAGGCTCAAACCGGTTCTCTGAGGACTGCGGTTCTAGCGACCCAGCTCCAGCTGCACTTGAAGCTCTACTTGTAGATGCATAAATATTGAATGAGGCACACAATCGACTCGCACCAGATTATGCCGTGATCTGCACTTCCACCACTGTCTCTTTGAAGCCCTCCAGCTTCTCCAGAACTCAAAGAGCTCCTGAAAGAGATGATCATGGGATCATGATGTTGCCCAAAGCAATAAACATCCGGTGTACGTCTATGATAATTTCAGATGCTGTGTCCTGTACAAGCAAATCAACAAAGCACCATGAAGAAGGTGAGGCAGGTAAGAGCACTCGCGCCGTATCTGAATGCTGCTGCTCCACCTGAACCACAAAGTCATAGCAGAATTATACACCCCTCACTGTGCTGAACAGCCCCTCACCTCTTACTTCACATGCAGCACTAACTGCAGTAACTGATGTATCATTTAAAGACTTAAAATTTTCCTCAAAATATCATGTAGATTCACAAAATAATGACTTATTTTCTCAATATGAATTAGTATAAAAAACATATTTCTGAAAACATCTGGCTTAGTATTTAGAATTTTCTGATTTTTTTCCAATATTTACTATTATTTTAAAATAATGCTCTACTATCTCCAAATTGTCACGCCTTGTATGGACTCTCTTAGTGTTATGGACTACATTTCCCAAGACACCTTGGGAACTCACATGACGGCAGACTTCCCTGTAGAATCGGCGTCCCTCATGGACTCCATTACCCAGGAGTCAAGAGGTGATCATGTGATCAGTGACGATCAGCCTCGCACCTATCAGCGCTCTCAGTCACCAGAATATTGAATGGTTCCACCTGTGTGTTTGTCATATGACTAGTTTAGTGTAGTATATAAGCCCAGGCCTTAGAATGGGTTCTTTGCGAGGTGTTGCTTCATTATTGAACTTGCTGAGCGTTTCTTCTGTTTTGACTTACTCTGTTTATTGACCCCGATCTTGTTTCCTCGACTCTGTTTTTGCCCTTTTGTACCTTTGCTGGATTTTTTGGATTTGTGATTCTGAACCTTTTTGCCTGCATTTTTCGACTCTGTCTTTTGTCTTGCCCTCTGGATTTTGTTTGCCTGGTGTTATGATCACATTCATGATCATTTATCGCTTCCTGGTTTTGACCCACGTTTGTACTTTGCCTACGTCTTCTCATTTTTAACCGCACACGTCTGAACTTCGCTGAATGGTTACATAAATACTGGCTTACTCTCAAAATATTGACTTTTCAAGAATGTAAATCATTTTTTTAAGATATCAAGTCAATACTTTGGCAAAATAAGTATTTATATTGAGACCAAAATTTTGACACATGGCTACCAAATACAGAGAAGGAAAACAAACAATGCTTCTAGTGTAAGTTTTGCATAAAAAGGGCAAATATAAAATGGCCAAAAAACTTGTCATTCACCAATTTGGCCGTAAAGACATCAGAACTGGGAAAAAAAAATCATAAAAATGAAAAATGTGTTTTGTCCCCATGGGAAATTGTTCTTTCAGTTTATACAGTGGATACCTACACATTTGTTAGTACATGTGAATTATATTTCTCATTTATCTGTTTACCATTTGCAATATCTTTGATCAAGATAAATTCCTCATACATGGCCAATAAAGTGATTCTGATTCTGACACCGTGGCAGAGACAGCTCAGTACTGCACTTGAAAAAGCTGCCCTTCAGATACAATAGACCCACCGGTAACGGATCATGCATCATGTGAAGGGTCACCATTTTGAGGTTGTTTTCTGTGATCAAGTGCACTTAAGTGTACTCAACATACTCAACACAGGAAACACACAAATAAAACCGGCCCAAAGATCCAGGGTCAAGACTCCATGGGTCAAGGTTGTGCTGTTTCTGATATATATTTAACCCCTTAACCATTAAAGGCCATTATGTGTGGTCAAACTTTAGTTTCCAAACTCTCATCACAACATATCACAACATAAATATTATTTTCATACCATTACCTAATAATTCATAGCACTAACCAAATAATTTGTTTCAAGGTCAAGAACTGAGTAATAAGGATGGGGTTCAAAGGGCTAATATAATATTCATATTAGACATGTTGTAAATAGATAGTATATGGCAGCAACACCAGCACTCAAATTACATCTACTAACATCTTTTATCTCTGGGGTCAGTTTGACCCCAGCAATTTGGGCCTCTGGGAAATATCAAAGTTTTGGTAGGAATTCTGTGTTCCCCTCCCCCACGTGGTGTGAGATATCAGTGATTCTTGCACAGGTAAGGTTACGTTAACTTAGGTATGTTACAGGAGGGATTATATTAGATTAGTGTGTTACAGGTGTGGATATGTTAGGTTAGGTGTGTTACAGGTGTGGCTATGTTAGGTTAGGTGTGTTACAGGTGTGGCTATGTTAGGTTAGGTGTGTTACAGGTGTGGCTATGTTAGGTTAGGTGTGCTACAGGTGTGGATATGTTAGGTTAGGTGTGTTACAGGTGTGGCTATGTTAGGTTAGGTGTGTTACAGGTGTGGTTATGTTAGGTTAGGTATGTTACAGGTGTGGTTATGTTAGGTTAGGTATGTTACAGTGTGGTTATGTTAGGTTGGATGTGTTACAGGTGTGGTTATGTTAGGTTAGGTATGTTACAGGTGTGGTTAGGTTAGGTTGGATGTGTTACAGGTGTGATTATGTTAGGTTAGGTATGTTACAGGTGTGGTTATGTTAGGTTAGGTATGTTACAGGTGTGGTTATGTTAGGTTAGGTGTGTTACAGGTGTGGTTATGTTAGGTTAGGAATGTTACAGGTGTGGTTAGGTTAGGTATGTTACAGGTGTGGTTATGTTAGGTTAGGTGTGTTACAGGTGTGGTTATGTTAGGTTAGGTGTGTTACAGGTGTGGTTATGTTAGGTTGGATGTGTTACAGGTGTGATTATGTTAGGTTAGGTATGTTACAGGTGTGGTTATGTTAGGTTAGGTATGTTACAGGTATGGTTATGTTAGGTTAGGTATGTTACAGGTGTGGTTATGTTAGGTTAGGTGTGTTACAGGTGTGGTTATGTTAGGTTTGATGTGTTACAGGTGTGGTTATATTAGGTTAGGTATGTTACAGGTGTGGTTATGTTAGGTTAGGTATGTTACAGGTATGGCTATGTTAGGTTAGGTATGTTACAGGTGTGGTTATGTTAGGTTAGGTGTGTTACAGGTGTGGTTATGTTAGGTTAGGTGTGTTACAGGTGTGGTTATGTTAGGTTAGGTATGTTACAGGTGTGGTTATGTTAGGTTAGGTGTGTTACAGGTGTGGTTATGTTAGGTTAAGAATGTTGCAGGTGTGGTTATGTTAGGTTAGGTGTGTTACAGGTGTGGATATGTTAGGTTAGGTGTGTTGCAGGTGTGGTTATGTTAGGTTAGGTGTGTTACAGGTGTGGTTATGTTAGGTTAGGTATGTTACACGTGTGGTTATGTTAGGTTAAGTATGTTAAAGGTGTGGTTATGTTAGGTTAAGAATGTTGCAGGTGTGGTTATGTTAGGTTAAGTGTGTTACAGGTTTGGTTATGTTAGGTTAGGTATGTTACAGGTGTGGCTATGTTAGGTTAGGTGTGTTACAGGTGTGGTTATGTTAGGTTAGGTATGTTACACGTGTGGTTATGTTAGGTTAGGTATGTTACAGGTGTGGTTATGTTAGGTTAAGAATGTTACAGGTGTGGTTATGTTAGGTTAGGTATGTTACACGTGTGGTTATGTTAGGTTAGGTATGTTACAGGTGTGGTTATGTTAGGTTGGATGTGTTACAGGTGTGGTTATATTAGGTTAGGAATGTTACAGGTGTGGTTATGTTAGGTTGGATGTGTTACAGGTGTGGTTATATTAGGTTAGGTATGTTACAGGTGTGGCTATGTTAGGTTAGGAATGTTACAGGTGTGGTTATGTTAGGTTGAATGTGTTACAGGTGTGGTTATATTAGGTTAGGTATGTTACAGGTGTGGTTATGTTAGGTTAGGTGTGTTACAGGTGTGGTTATGTTAGGTTAGGTATGTTACAGATGTGGTTATGTTAGGTTAGGAATGTTACAGGTGTGGTTATGTTAGGTTGGATGTGTTACAGGTGTGGTTATATTAGGTTAGGTATGTTACAGGTGTGGCTATGTTAGGTTAGGAATGTTACAGGTGTGGTTATGTTAGGTTGAATGTGTTACAGGTGTGGTTATATTAGGTTAGGTATGTTACAGGTGTGGTTATGTTAGGTTAGGTGTGTTACAGGTGTGGTTATGTTAGGTTAGGTGTGTTACAGGTGTGGTTATGTTAGGTTAGGTATGTTACAGGTGTGGTTATGTTAGGTTAGGTATGTTACAGGTGTGGTTAGGTTAGGTTGAATGAGTTAAAGGTGTGGTTATGTTAGGTTAGGTGTGTTACAGGTGTGTTTATGTTAGATTAGGGACATTTTTTTTAACTGCATAAAACTGCATGTTATAGTGACCTTAACACCATCAAAGACAGTCAAAACTAGTAACTAGTTCATGTAAAATGTTGATATTCTTATTAAATTTGAAAAAATCATTAAATATTAAAAAAAAAACGATGTCAAGTATGAGGGCTATGATGTAAAATGCTGCAATTTTGTTTTGTATTGTTATTTGTATGTGACACTTTAATGTATGTATGACTTTAACACCAGAAGGAAGTTCATTGGCTTCTTAGAAGATGTATTTGGTCACATTATGAACAGAAGAGCTGTGGACTCCTACCTCCTATGTCTGGTCGCAGCTTGTTGTCATAGCCGTCTAGTAGACTGTTCAGAATATGTGTGACATCACTCTCGTAGACCTTCGAGGTCAACACCCAGGTTTTGTTTGTCACGTCGTCGTCATCATTTTCTGTCTGGATGGAACTGGTGATGGGAAAGACACAAAACAGAGCGAGTCAGCGATAGAACCCGAGGCAACCTGACTCTAAGACCCAAATTAGGCCCATGATAAGCGATCCTCCACAGAAAGTTATTTTAAGGCCACTGTTGGAGGAGATTGTATTTCGAGAGAATAATGTTCACAGTGAGAGAGTGTGATATAAGAGGTTTTCTCAGTGTGATCCAAACTATTAAACTGGACAGGGCAAACATTGTGGTCACATTTACCGCTGAGAGTGATACCTATCACACTACAGGAGACTCAAGATCAAGCTTTGTCCTGAACCACGTGTGCTCACTTTCAAGATACATACATAAGTTAAAGAGCAATGCTAACAACCTTTTCACACTCTTTCCTGATACAATACGAGTATAATGGTTAAGATATAATGACAACATACCAGCAAAAAACATTTTTTGTCAGTGTTTATCTTAAAATCTTAAAATTTTATCTTAAAATGTCTTAAAAAACAATAATAATAAAAAATAAAAAAAAAAAACAATCTGACATGATACCACTTTCTTTTTGGCAATGCCGATGATGGTACTCAAACATTTATGAAAAATACACGTATTTATACACGATTACACGATTTTAGGTAATTATGCTTAGTTCAAGCATATTTCTTACAACAAGTAATGTTATCTGCCAATCCAGCCAAATAATTTCACTTACTAAAATCACTTAAGTAAAAAAAAATCCAGAAAAAAGTTTGCTTACAACAGTCTCCACGTAAAATACCTTAGATATATTGACTAGATTTAACATAATTTCACTTCACCAAGACTTCATTTTCGCAGTGCAGTGACAGCATTTCTGAATTAGGCTGAACATCGAATAAAAATAAAGTTAGCTAGTTAAATACACTACATGCTAAACACTAGACACTAAGATTAGATAAGCTACCGACAGCATACTTCAGATAGTGGCTTCCTATGTAGCTCCAATCATTAGCTTTAAGCATCAAACTGAGCACATGAAAAAAACAGTACATATAAAATTATACTTTCCTGTGATTTCATTGGCTGCTCTTTAAACAATGCCATAAAGTTATAAAGGAGCCTTTCCACTAAAATAATGATAAGGAGTCAATGTAGCATCCAGTCTGCCATCAGTCCAACATGAAACGATAAAGAAGCAGCGCTGCCATGAGGGCGTGTTCTAACCTCTTATCAGTCATGTTCAAGGTCCCTCCCCCAGTTAGACCATTTAAAAATGGTAGCCGATGAAAGGAACAGTAAATGCAGTGATGGCTGAAGCTCTCGGCAAACAACCATCATCACCACCACAGTAAGAAACCATGTTCAGCAGCAAAGAACAGACATAGAGAGAAGCAGAATAAGAGTTAGCATCAGCGCTGCTCTCCTCCGCTGGAGCTCTCGGCGAGTAAAGGGATGAAGTTTGATGCTGAACTCGCAACGTTTCTTCTAGACTGGTAAGTAAAAGAGTTGAAGGCCAGCAATCGACTGCATCCATCAATAGAGCAATGCACCAATCTCTTCAGGCTTTATCTGGACATGAACAATGGACACAAGCAGAGAAAGAGAGGGAGAGAGAAAGAGAGAGATAGAGAGACAGAGAGAGAGAGAGATAGAGAGACAGAGAAAGAGAGAGAGAGAGAGAGAGAGAGAGAGAGAGAGAGAGAGAGAGAGAGAGTGTAGAGCTGACAAAATGAGCCCTGATTCCCAAAGCCCTTTTATCACACACAGATCAAATAAGCCACCCTCTCTCTCTCTCTCTCTCTCTCTCTCTCTCTCTGCTTTCCACGCTCTCACTTTCTCTCTTCTTATCTCTCTCTGCCTCCTTCTTCTTTTCTGTCTCTTTCATTGTCTGTCTCACCCCCGTCACTCTCTTTCCTCTCTCTTTATCATGCCCTCTGTCTCTCTTACAGCCTGTCTCTTCTCTTTCTCTCCCTTTTCTTTTCTTTTCTTTCCGTCCTTCTCTTTCTGTCCCTCTCTTCCTTTCCTTCTCTTTCTCTTCTCTCCCCCCACTTTCTCTCTCTTCCCATCCACTTCATTCTTTTTCTCTCTCTTCCTCCTCACCACTCTCTTGCTCTATCTCTCACCCTCCTTTCTCGCTCTCTTTTGTCCTTTTTTCTTGTTGCATCCTATTTTCTCCTTCTTCTCTCTCTATCACTCTTTCACTCTCTCCAATTCTCCAATTTCTGTCTCCCTCTTGCTCCCCTAAGTCTCTCTCTTTTTCTATCTCCCTCTTCTCCATTCTCTTATTCTCTTTCCTCTCCATTCTCTCTATACATCTCTCATCCTCTTCTCTCTCTCTCTCTCTCTCTCTCTCTCTCTGTTAATGGTATGTAAGTCAGGTTCAGTGCTGTATGGAGGGATGTCTGTGTTTCTGGCTGAAATGTCTCTCAGCTGCCCTTTAATGAATATTTTCGGAGTGTTTCCGTGGCGCTGAGGGCCGAGGCCGTTCGTTTAAATTACGTGGTGTGTGTCGGGAGTGTTTTTATTATTTTTCTTTTGAGGGGAGTGTGGAGGCGAGGACGCTGGCGTAGAGTAATAATGCTGCATTAGTGAAAATGCGGACAGCTCTCACTCTCTCTCCCTCTCTGTCTCTCACTCTCTCTCTCTCTCTCTGTCTCTCCCTCTCTCTCTCTCTCTCTCTCTGTCTCTCCCTCTCTCTCTCTCCCTCTCTCTCTCTCTCTCTCTCTCTCTCTCCCCCTCTCTCTCTCTCTCTCTCTCTCTCTCTCTCTCTCTTAAAAAATGATCACCTCAGAAATTAAAAACTATCACCAAGGTTTGCTTGACAGCCCTGAGAGACAGATGAGTATCCTCAGCACTGTAGCTTAGCGATCGGTTTAAATTATAAAAAAAAAATTATACTATTGTTCACAAGGGCTGAGCGGGATAAGTTAAACCTGCTGGACTCTTTGGCCCAGTCCCATTTCTATTTTTACCCCTACCTCCTGTTTCTCGAGGGTCTCCTTGCCCCTTGGAACTGAACTACAAGGGGTAGTGGTTGAAATCTTCCTCTGAAATGGGACCCTCAAATAAAAAGAGCATCACTTCATTAACAGCTACCAGCGCTGCTCTGTAGGCGACCCTGCCAGTCTGCAGTGACAGCAGAGGAGGGTAAAGTTCAGCTCCTCACTGCTGGGCTTTAGTTACATTTAGGGCATCATATGCCTTCAAAGAGGGGGGCAATTATTTATTATCACCCACCTCTAATTCTTCAGTGATATGAAGCTGATTCAGAAGCTGAAGTCAGATATTCACCAGATTCTTGTTCGAATTTTCCCATTACACCTTAAATTTAAGGTGGAACAGGAAACTTAGCTAGCTACCGAGACATCAGCACTACTAGCGATTTTTATGCTTGTTATGAATAAAAGGACCAAAATACACTGAAACAACATTAAACTAAAATAATACAATAGTCACTGTAATTTTTTAATGGAGAAAATTTGTGGGTTTCTTTGGTCGCTTGGAGGGCCATGCAGCCCTAACACTTCACCCTATGAAGATGAGCTCAGTGACTTTAAACATGGCACTGTCGTAGGATGCCACCTCTGCCACAAGTCACTTTGTGAAATGTCTGTGCTGCTAGATCTGCTCCTGTCAACTGCAAATGCTATTATTGTGAAATGGAAAAGTCTAGGACATGTGTGAAGCTTCAGTCCTTGTGGGCCAAAACGCTGCAGATTTCAGCACGTTGCCTCATTAAACACACCTGATTAGGCTCATCAGCTAATTAGCAAGGCCTTCATTAACTGAATTCAGAGTGTAAACGCTAATTTCCACAGCACTTTGGCCCAGAAGGTCCCCAGTTTGACGTTCCTGGTCTAGGAGCAACAACAGCTCAGCCACGAAGCGGTAGATCACACAAACTCACGGAGTGAGGCCTACAGTGCACAGTGTCTATCCTCTGTTGAATCACTTACTAACAAATTCCAAACTGCTTCTGGAAGCAACATCAGCAAAGGAACCGGGCATGAGAAGATTCATAAAATGATTTTTAATGGCCGAGCAGCTGCACACAAGCCTAAGATCAAAATGCACAATGCCAAGTGTCGGATGGAGTGGTGTAAAGCGCCACCACTGGACTCTGGAGCAGTGGAAACATATTATGTGGAGTGACGAATCAAACTTCTCTATCTGTCAGTCTGATGGACGAGTCTGGGTTCGGCGAATGCCAGGAGAACGTTACCTGCCTGACCGCACTGTGCTAGCTGTAGAGTTTGGTGGAGGAGGGATGATGAAATGGGGCTGTTTTTCGGGGGTTGGCCTAGAACCCTTAGTTCCAGTGAAGGGAAACCTTAATGCTTCAGCACCAAGACATTTTGGACAATTCTACACTTCCAACTTTGTGGGAACAATTTGGGGAAGAACCTTTCCTGTTCCAGCCTGACTGAGCCCCAGTGCACAAAGCAGCTCCATAAAGGCCTGACTGGGTGAGTTTGGTGTGGAAGAACTTGACTGGCCCTCACAGAGCCCTGACCTCAACCCCATCAAACACCTTTGGGATGAACTAGAACGGTGATTGTGAGCCAGACCCTCTCGTTCAACATCAGTGTCTGACCTCACAAATGCTCTTCTGGATGAATGGGCAGAAATTCCCACAGACTCTCTCCAACATCTTGTAGAAGCTTCCCAGAAGAGTGGAAGCTGTTAGAGCTGCAAAGGGGGACCAACTCCATATTAATGCCTATGGATTTAGAATGGGATTCATAAAAGCTCCTGTAGGTGTGATGTGTAGGTGTCCCAATACTTTTGTCCATATAGCGTAACTAATGTACAGAAGACTGTAAGACACATCATTTAAATACATTTACTACATTTCTAAGCTTGCTTATGAACTGGTGTGTTTACTAGGGCATTATTGATGGTTTGCTAATGGTTTAATATTTGTTAAAAAGCAGACCTTACAGCTCTGTCAGCTTCAAAAAACATACATTTTTAATCCAACCTGGTCAGTTTACTTTTTCAAGTAATCATTCAAAACAACAAATCTTCTTCACAGTGATATT